CCTCTCCTGGGGCCCCCTCTCCTGGGGCCCCCTCTCCTGGGGCTCCTCCCGGCCCCTCTGAGCTCTCAAGACTTGTGTTTCACCCTCCAGATCACTACAGCGCCGAGGACAAATACAAGATGTGGATGAGGCACCGCTACAAGGACTGCGTGGATTGCTTGGCGGAGCTGATGGGACACGATGCCTTCCAGGTCAAGGTAGGTCCTGAGCTCACACTGGGGGGTCCCTTGCGATGCAGAGCGATTCTCTCTCTAATATTTGAACGTGGGAGGGCTGGCAGTGCTGTCAGACGTTGCTGGTGCTCTGGCGCACCTCTGCTCACCAGACTGCCCGGAGCAGCTTTCTCTTTTCTTTCATCTTCGTCCATTCTACCTCCTTTAGAAGTTGCCTCCATTAAGTCTGACCCCTTGTGTCCTTGTTGAAGTTTATTTGTGTGTGTGTTGTTTTTTTTTTCTTTTTTAATAAAGGAATTGTCGCTCTGCACCCTCATGAAGTTTGTGGAGTTGGAGGCACAGCATCCCTTGATCAAAGTAGAGTGGAAGGGGACTTTAACTTTTCCGCGTGAACTTCTTAAGGTAAGCTGGCCTCGCTGGCCGTGGTGAGAAGGTACTGCCTGGTTCAGACACCCTGTCATTTCTAAACGATGTTGTCTTTGATAGAAGGGGCCCATCTGGGAGGTCAGGAGGGCTTGTCAGCGTTGCTCTGGGGCAAGCAGCACACAGCCATGCTAGCTGCCTTTCAGAAAGACAGGAGGGTGCCCTCAGCCATCACAGCTCGCTGTCCGCTCCGCTACTGTAAGAGACTGACATGGTTTTCCTTTACAAACCTTTTGTTAGGTAGTTGTTGATGGCTTACTTCCCTTAAATGAGGACGCTTCACTCCTGATCTCCCGCTTTCAAGAATACATGGAGTATGATGATGTTCGGTACTTTGTCATGAAGGCGGTCACTGAGAGTATTGGACAAGTCATGCAGAAGACGAAAGAGGTAACGCATTACCGTTGAGGCGGGTCTGAATAAACTGCTCTGAAACGTGTATCTTGTGCGTGAAGCAGGGAGGGACTAGTGGTGGATGGAAAGACTACGGAAACAAGGGAAATGAGTGTGCTCATTTGAAGGCGTTCACCTTACTTATTTCTTGCTCACAGCGTGTGCCAATTATGCCAAGACTGTCTTCAGTCTGAAATTGGTAGTAGTTGGAGGCACGCATGCTCTTGTTTTTGCAAAACCTGGTCTGGGCTCTAGCTCCTGTTTCACCCTAATCTCTGCAGCTCGGGTGGCACACACAGGGCTTTCAATTCTGTTCCTTCTGTGGTACAGAGGAAGAGTCTGTTCTCTTTAATTGGATCCACTAGTTTTGTTAAGTCAGAATTAGTTCAGAGATAGGTTTTGTGTTAGGCAGCCAAGTAATACGCCAGGGTAGGGGTTATACCAGTATGCAGTTCAGCCATCATCGTTGTTTCTTTCCTTTTCCTTTCCTAAATATACTTAGTGCTTTGAAAATAGGGCAATACTGAAGTCCAGTGTCTTACCATCTGTTGTGGAACTTCATGTTTGATTATATGCTTTTTTTCCTCAGAGGCCACTGCCGTTTTACCAACAGAATGTATTTTCTCTCATTTCACCCATTAACATGCCAGACAAAGAGAGTGACATGGTCAAATTTATGGTGAAGCAAGGTTAGTAAGCACCATGTGATGAACTGTGTATGGGAAGGAAAATCAGGTTTAAGATTTCTTTACTGTGTAAATACTTTCTTATTGTTTGCTAATGAAAAATGTCTGGTTCTGTGACCACAGTGGTTCTAAACAGTATTACAAAATCCATATTCCTCAGTTGGCAGTGGGGTCTGTCATGGCCTTGTGTCAAGACTTCAGCCCAAAATTTTAGAGGGTCAAAGGACTAAGTAAAAAAGGGTTATTTTAATTTTTTAAATATCTGTTTCAAGTTCAACATCTCTTTTCCCTTTCTTCTTAGATAACTGGCAGGAATTGAAAGTGTCGAAGCTTCAGGTAACTGTTCATGCTTCAGAGCTGAAACTGTATCTTCTTAAAATAGAGCTTTATCTACACCAGTGTGTTTAACTCTCTGCTTGCAATTCTGTTTTAAGGCACACAAGCAGGCGTTTCAAAAGATGTGGCTGAGTTTTTTGAAGCACAAGGTGAGTGCTACTTCTGCCACTGACCTGCGTTGCTTTCCGATTGCTAATTGTTAGAGGCAGTGGCTGTCCTTACATGGAGCTCCTGGTAGGACCCCGCTACACTCTCATGTCAGATGAGAACAGTCTAGTCACTGTTTCTACTGGATTGTTCTCCTGCCAAGGAGAAGCAGCCAATAGAAACAGTCTGCTGCTTCTCCTTATTCTCAGCCTTTTCTTCCCCACCTTAAGCGAGTCTGCCTGTAAGGAATGGTCTGCAGCACAACCACCTCTGTTCACAAGTTGAAGGTTCCCAGGCCTTTTTGCTGGGGACTTCCCCTCTGACCTGCGTTGACACTTTTAGTTGTGAGCACTTGCCTCTTTGGATGGTGTCACTTGTGAACTCTCCCCTTTGGGAACCATTGCTGCAAGCCACTCTGTGTCGTCCTGCCATGTTCCGTTTTGCTTGTGCCTTGCCTTTTTGAGCCACGGGTTGCTGTTGCCCTCTGAGTTCTCCCTGCAGTGATTGTTTCACTCTTATTTTGTCTTCGCAGCTGCCCACTGGCCTTTACAAAAAAGTTCTTGTCATTCTGCATGATTCCATCCTGCCTTACATGAACGAGCCCACTCTCATGATAGATTTCTTGACGGTGGCCTATGGCATAGGTGAGTGAGAACAGGCTTTTTGTCCTTTGTGAGGCTCTGCCTGTGGTATGGATGGACTTGGAAGGGCTGCTGGGTGCAAAACCACGGCCTGGGGGGATGAAAGAGATGTACTTTGGTCTGGGATGAAGCTGAGGAACTGTGTGAACTCTGTTGTCCCTGAAAGGGAGATGTTTTTACCTGTGTTTGTCAGTAGTGTTACTCCTTGTATATCAGGAAGATCATATTTAAGACTTTGGGAAGAAAAGAATACTGGAGTGATTTCTATTAAATATGGAGTTCAGTTAGCAATGCTGGTACCTGGCCTGTATCTGGGCACAGGATGCACAGGTTCCTACAGAAAAGTCCTTTCTGAGGAGACCTTTGCCTCCCCAGTGTGACTTTCTTGGGGGATTAGAGCAGCATGTGTGTTTCACTCCTTCAGAGCCTGTTATTCCAAACTACAGCTTATTCTTTGTAAGTAATTTATGAGCCCCTGGATTGTTTTAGATGAAATTGTATTATTGTACGGCCATTGTGCTGGCTCTGATTTCAGGTACACTTAGTTTTGTGTTCTCTGTGGGAAGGTTTTATAATAGGAACAAGTTGAAGTTAATATTTTCTTACTGTACTGATACCTGCCTGCTTTCTTACAGGTGGAGCCATCAGTCTTCTAGCCTTAAATGGATTATTTATTCTGATTCATGAACATAATCTGTAAGTAAAAAGAGCATCTTGTTTAAAGAAACATGGGGGTTTGTGTCTATATCTTTATAGAAATGAACTGAAATGGATTCCACACATCTTCAGGCTTTATAATTCCCCCATGAGAAAGCCAAACTCTGCACAAGAGGCTCAGCTGTTTGGATGCTGAGCTCTTTTGATAGTCTGACCTTTTTTTCAGCTGAGCCTAAATATCCTCTTCTCCAGACTGTGACTGCTCAGCACTTGAAAATCGATTCCCATTGATCTGATTACATAGTTGTCGTGGTTTAACGTGGTTTTAAGCCGTAGTCTTCGGTGTGCCTTTCACTGGATCCTGTCCCATTTGCAGTCGACGGGCATAGCATCACATCCTGAAAATGGCTGGGCACTGCAAGAGCAGTGAGTTCACCTCTCGGCTCATTTTCAAGGGGTGGCTGTGGAGAGAAGCCTAAGAAAGCTAAACAGAGCAGAGCAGTGGTCTGGGGCAGTCTGTAAGGGAAGCACGGAAATGTTTAGACACAGTGTAGTCCCGTTGTACTTTGGTAATGGATGTTGTCTCTTTCCTTTTTTTAACAGGGAATATCCTGACTTTTACAAAAAGCTGTACAGTCTTTTAGACCCTTCTATCTATCACGTGAAGTACCGAGCCCGCTTTTTCCATTTGGCTGATCTGTTTTTGTCTTCATCGTAAGTAGCATCTTTGTTACGTATGTTCACATATTTCCTCCTGCTTTCCTGTTGCTCAGGCACTGTTCTTGAGCAGTCCCCCACATGTCTGGATATAATGTATTCAGTGAGTTTACTGGATTAGATTGATTTTTGCCGAGAAAACTGAATCCAAGAGTGTTATTGTAGCGTTGTGTAATTTTTCATGTGCTATTTTTGAAGATTTCCCACACAGCCGTCTAGTTTCAGAAAGTAAAAATGCAGTTAGTTATCTGAGTTTAATCTGCAAGTGATTATGGATGTATTTTGATCTGTATCCCACTTTAGCTGAAAGTGATGATTTTTCTGTCTGTCTTTATGAATATGGAAAAGTAACATTTGCAGGCTTTTTATAGCCCATAAAGCTGTTGATAAATTGATGACCTTTTTCAGACATATAACACGGAAATAAAAAGTGTTAGACAATATGTCTTGATGCTTCAATTCGTCAAACACAGGGAAGAAACTAGATAAGCAGCTGGTCATATAGTTGCCGTCATATGTTATAAAATAAACCAAGAGTAAGGCTTTAGAATTCAGCACGAGGCACTTAATATCACCCCCCTTGTACTCATAGTGTTCTTTGGGGAGAGTAACAACAGTCAGCACTGCAGATGGTGTCCTGGGCGGGGGGGGCTTTGCAGAGCCTTGCCTTCAGGCTGAAGGCTGAGCAACTGAAAATTGTCTTCATCCTGGCTCTTCTGACCTGAACAAAGTGCCTAGATGAGCGGATTGCTGTTAGAAATTTACATTTTAACCATTATATAAAAAAACCCTGTCCTGCACATTTACATTACAGCAGCTTTTTGTTCCCATTAACAGCTGCAGTGCTTGCTGTAGTCCTGGAAGTATTATGTAAATTTAACGCCGTGGCCTGTGTATTAATTAAACCTACAAAATGACATTAGAAGAATATAATTAAGGTTGCCTGGCTGAGCACTCAGAACTTTATAAAATGCCTGAATAAAGACTGCCATGTGATTGACCGTGTCCAAGAGCTGTGCTTGGCTGCGGCGGGTGCCTGGAGTGGTGCCACGCATCCGGATGGACTCGGTGATTGAGATTATTCATGCACTGGATGGAAATGCCCCCGCATTTGTTCCAGAGAGCGCACGAGGCCCTGTATTACTGCTTGAAATCGGGATTGTTAGAGCTTCTTTTTACTCCATAGCCCAAAGAAATCTGTAGAGCCCCACTGATCTTTAACCTGACAGGCTGTTTGGATTGGTGAGACTGCTGGCTCGCCTGCTGGGACTTTTACACGCTGGTTCCTTCTGTCTCCTTTCCAACAGTCACTTGCCAGCATACCTGGTGGCAGCATTTATAAAGCGTCTCTCCCGGCTGGCCCTCACTGCTCCTCCCGAGGCTCTACTCATGGTCATCCCCTTCATCTGTAATCTCTTCCGGAGGCACCCCGCGTGCAAGGTGCTTGTACACAGACCTAATGGGCCAGAAGGTAAGAGGGAAGGTGGGTAGGGGAGTTCTGTGTTGCGCCTTCAGACATCGTGAAGAGCAGGATTCTTGTGGAGGAGGAGGAGGAGAGATCCCAGCTCCAGTGCTGAGGTTTAGAAGGATGCCTCTGTCCCTTGAGTTTGTGGAAAGCCAGTAGGCTGCTCCTTCGGGTTCTCTGCGAAGACCAGTCTGCACTGCTTCTCTCTGACTTAGCCCTCACGGTCCCTGGGCGAAGGCAGCTTTGAGCCTGGCACACTGACGCACGCCCCTTACCATGCTCATGGACTGGGGGACCCTCTACCAGGCACAGAGCTTGTCTTGTTTCCCTCAAGAAATGAGAAGAAAATGAATGCAGAAACCAGAGACCTCTCCAATTTCAGTCTGTGGTGGTTTTGTGTAGGTGGTTCCACTTGGGCCTCTGCAGTCTCCTGAGTTTTTAGTTCATCTCTCTGTGGTTTAACTGAGTAGTGTTGAACATCAGTAGTGACCCTTCAGAGTTGCCTGAGAATGCCCTTTGCATCAGACCATTCCACTTCTTTGTGCCTTCTTCTATGCTCTTTAAAGTAGTAGGATTCTGTAGTGCTGCAAACAGTAACTCTTGGGTCATGCTAGGATGTGTCAGCATGTTCCTGGACCCTAAATCTGGGAAGGAGCAACTCTGGCTGCAGCTCTGCTCTGCATCTCTCTGTTCCCTTTGGGGTTATTTACGTCACGCAGAAGGTATTAGCTCTCTCTGTTTCCTTAGATATGTCGGAAGATCCATATATTATGGAGGAGAAGGAGCCATCTGAAAGCAGGGCTTTGGAGAGCTCTCTCTGGGAGATTCAGGTATGTCAGCTAAAAAGGGACATCTGCATCGGATATGGGCTTCTTCAGCCCTTGCCGCTTCCTTCGTGCACATTGCCAGTGGGCAGTCCCACTTCCGAGAACCTGCTGACGTACACCTTGCAAACGAGATGAGTTTCTGGCTGGTCGTTTGTTCTGCCTCCTTTCCTAGCCCAGTGTAGGAGGCAGAGGATTCCCCCCGCTGGAGAAATCATACATGCTAATTAGTAGATGGCTTGTGAGCACACGTCTGACTGTGCAGCTGAAAAGTGTGCGGTTAACAGCTGAAACACTAAATAGTGGGAAATGTGTGAGGCTTTCTGTTTGCTTTGCAGAAGAGAGAGGAACTTGCTGAGCACCGGTGGAGATTAATTGGCTACAGCTAGGTCATCCTGTAGAAATGGGTTTAAAAATGCTAGAGAAGATTGTAACGTTCACCTTTCACCTGGATCATTTGTAGGACGGGGTATGAAGGTTGAAATTGGTTAAATTACTCGTGATGGTTCTAAAACCTTAATGCCAGGATTAGCACTTTCCATTTAAATGCTAAAAGGATTTTGTGTGAGGAGCTGAAGCAGCCACAGGAATGTTGTGCTGGAGCAGGGACTCGGCTGCAGCCTCAGCGTGCTGGGAGGCAGCAGAACTGGGTGATGTGTTGTGGGCATGGCCCGTGCAGCAGTCAGTCTGTGCTGAGCTGGGTGTGAACCAGGCGAGAGGGGCCTTTGACGTGTGTGAGACGGGGCTGAAATGTCCGAGTGCGTCACACTTGCCACTGCCAGTTTGTGATGTTCACTGAGGATCTGACAACCAAGGGACAGATACCTGTGTGGGTGTGTGTTACCCTGTGCTTACTAGACCGTCTCCTGTTTGTTTTGTTTCTGCAGTCTCTACAAAACCATTATCACCCAGATGTGGCCAAGGCAGCCGCTGTCCTGAACCAGTCGCTGTCGGAAATAGAGGATGACCTATCCGCGCTCCTGGAGCTCTCGGCGTACGAGGTAGCGTCGCTGTGCTTTGTCAGTGACTGGAACCAGGGGGAAGGGGATGGGTTCCTGGGTGCAATAGCTGTTCCTCAACCCGGATGCTGGGGAGGCAGCTAGACTGACTTTTGGTTACCCAGAGCCAGGGAAAACTGGAAGATGCCTGTTACATCATGGAGCGTGAGGCAGCAGTATTGACAGGGATGGCTTTTATGTAAAGGTTTATTGCTGGATCTTTTCAGAGGTTAGAATGAGCAGTGGTATCAGCCAGGGTGAAGAGCTTGTACTGAATTTTGCCAATATCTTCTTTTTTTTTTTTTTTTGGTAGCTTTTGATAAAGAAGTAAAGAAAAAGGCTGTTGATGTGCCCCTGGAGTTTGAGCAAGTACGAGGTTTGTTTGGGAAGAAAAATGATATTTTTGCAGAGCACTTTGCTTTAGATTGATGTGGTCTCTGATAAGCACATCTGCACAACTGACTGATCCTGGGGACGTGCACAGAGCTCACGTGTTGTGCTCAGCAATTCTCCCTCTGAAGAATCTCCACGGGAGCTGACTGCTTGAGGAGCGTGCAGCCTTCAGCGACTTTTGCGGCTACCCATGGATGGAGTTGCCTTTGTTGCTTCTTGTTTCTCACGCTTGCACATTGCCACCTAATATCTGGGAGAGATTTTCCATCAGAGCAAATTTTTCTGGACTTGTTCATTGCGGGGATTCCAGCCCTTTTCTCCGAAGCTGCTGATGCTGGCCGTGATTGATGACTGCAGCGGCAAACGGTCTTGCTGCCGTTCAGTGGGACTGAGGGGAGGTGCAGTCTCCGACTAATGCTTTTATTTTTCAGATGTGCTACTTTCATACCAGAGCTGATAACCTGTTTGTAGCAAGTGACTTAAATGCATAGCTGTAAACACCTGATGATATTCTAATTACATTTTTTTTTATACACACTTTTGTACTCCTGTCTACAGAGAGATGTTGAGCTTCCTTGTGCTCGTCTTAACACTCACGTTCGAGGCATTGAACGCTCGCGTTTGTCAAAACCAGCTCGTCGATGGTGCTCAGTAATTCCATCCGTGAAGTGTTGCTGATGTTCCTTCACATTCTCATGCTCTAAGGTTGCTTCATTCAAAACGCTTGTGAGCTTTGGAAATGAGCATAATCCTGGTGACGGCTGTAGCTGGGGGGGCTGGCTGATGTGCTGTGGGAGGTATGTCTAATCCTAGATTTTTGCTTGAGCATGATAAGCAGCTCAGTGTAGCTTTGCTTGCAGCTGCAGGCGTTGTTGGAGCTCTGGCCGCTGTGTATCCAGGTGCTCATCAGTTTTAACTAGTCCACTGACACTGGGTGGTTTTGCTAATTTGGTTTTGATATAGTTCCAGGAGTTACGCAGAAATTCTGTCTGGTAGGGTGGTGGGTTGTTTGGTTCTTCCCCCGCCCCAAGGTTTTAAGTTTGACATCAACTCTGTATTAAGAACATAAACCCAGTCAGGACCCTTTTTTCATACTCATTTTCAACAACTTATTGTCTCATGAAGACTCTAACTCCACTTGCATATTTTGAAATCATATTTTGTGGAGGAGAAAAATACAAAAAGTGAAGGTCAAGAAATCTGATTTCTGGCAGACAAGTGTGTTTAAGTCAAGGAAAACTGCAGTTGTCTTGGAGACACACAGTGTTACGTTTTCTTTATCCCATTTCCTTCATGCTTCCCAAGCGATGGACATGTCCTCAGAGCATACAGCTCTAGCTGCTTTTTGGGTTGGTTTTTTATGATGCTTTTGAATTCAGGTGGGGCCTTTTTCAGGATTCAAGATCTTTTTTCTTAAAAAGAAAAGTCTTGCTCTTTGTTACTCTCTGGTGAAAAAGATCAATACACTTGGAAAAGGGATGCTGCTGGAAATGGGGTGTTCGGCTTTCTCCAAGGAGGATGGCTGCGAAGGCACTGGCATCTTCAGTGTCTCGCCAGCCATGGATCCGAACTGCACTGCAATTAATGGTGACTTGACCGGGGCAAGATGCAATTCATAGATTCGTAGAATCACAGAATGGTTTGGGTTGGAAGGGACCTTAAAGATCATCCAGTTCCACCCCCCCTGCCATGGGCAGGGACCCCTTCCACTAGACCAGGTTGCTCCAAGCCTCATCCAGCCTGGCCTTGGACCCTTCCAGGGATGGGGCATCCACAGCTTCTCTGGGCACCCTGTCCCAGTGCTTCCCCACCCTCTCCGGAAAGAACTTCTTCCTGATATCCAATCTAAACCTCACCACTTTCAATTTAAACCTGTTACCCCTTGTCCTGTCACTACAGGCCCTTGTAAAAAGTCCCCCCCCAGCTTCCTTGTAGCCCCTTCAGGTACTGGAAAGCTGCAATGAGGTCTCCCCGGAGCCTCCTCTTCTCCAGGCTGAACAAGCCCAATGCTTTGGAGTGCATTCCCAGTACCCTGTGTGCCGACCGTTGCTGCTTCCACTGGTGTGGAGGCGGAGGGCTCGGCTAACGGTGTGTTCACATCTCAGGGTATTTCAGTGCTGAGCGGGAAATGCTGTTAGCACTTTACTTGAAGTATTTGTAGCTGACCTGGTGTGACTTGATTATTACGTAGTGATGCCTGGCAGTCCCTGCACAGCCCCACAGAGCCTGGTGCAGAGAAGACAAACGGCAGACAGCTCAGAGGAGCTTACAGCTTAAACCCTGGGAGCACTTTAGACAAGGCTTGAAGGTCTTCCAGAAACTTCGTCCCCCAACTCTGCTGCTGCACTTGCCTAAGCAGCATTCTTAAACCAGCTCTTAGGTGGAGACAGCTTTAAGCCCCTGCCTGTGTTTGGAAAAACATTCCACCTGGTCTTTCATCAAGCTTTTATCTTTAAACTTTCACCCCCGCTCCCCTCAATGGGAGGCATCAGGAGAAAAATCAGCAGTTATAAATATGAAAAGTTTCATCTGCGCTGAGTGTACAACCCTTATCAGGCTGCACACCCGCTGCTGCTACTGCTCTACACGTCTCCACAGACTGCAGATTATAGATGCTTTAATCATAGTGTGTATTAACTGGAAGGCCAGATTGAAGTACCAGGCAGAGAGTGCATAAGTCACTCCTGTTATTATTTGATCTTTATCAGATGTGGGGAGGGAGGAGAGGGCTGTTCTGGGGGTTTTTTGTTGTTGTTGGGTTCCTTCAGTGAGGATGAAAGATAGTTTTATGTAAACACTGACACAGTCCCCCAGCCTCCCCACGCGTCACTGCCTCGTTCCCTCACCAGAGGGTAGTGATAAGGTCTCTCTGTGCTGCCATGGACTGCCCTTGGTTTATTTTCCTGAGCTTTCATTCATTTAAAGGCCCTTCAAAGTCATCCCGACCTGAGGGTAAAAGAGCTGCTCATCAAGAGCATGATGAGATTTGTCTTGTGAGTCAAAGGTCCAGGTGACCGTGGTGTTTGTGTTAATCAGTTTAGGTTCTTGCTAATGAGATACTCACTGGGGGATAGAAGGAATTGGAGATTTACATCCATAAATGAATGGAAAAGTGCAAATGCCAGCTGCCAGCTTGCCCCAAGTAGAGGGATCTCTGCTCTGGGGCAGCCAGTGCCTGTCCTTTTCCAGCATGTTGGGACATCAGTGTGCTTGGTTGCAGGCTGGCAGTGGTCCTCCGAGAAATAGGCTTGTGTGTGTAAAATAACTCGCTTTTCACACCCTGTGTTCAAGTATCTCAAGGAGGAACTGCCTAACCAACATCCCCTGCCTGTCCTCTTAACCACCTGGGAGTCCACCTCTGCTCCTTGGGATTGCAGGTAAGGTCCTCTCAGCATACAGGAGCTGGACACTGAGTTGCTAAATCCTGTCTTGGCTCCAAAGGGGCCAAGTCCACAGGCTCCCAAGTGCTTGAAAGACATTAAAAACTGCTTAGCCCCACTGAGCAGCTGCTATTAGCATTAAGGTGCTTTCCCAGCCCCGAGGTGGTGAAAGCTGCTGTGCAGCCATAACCTCTGTGTTTTCCACTACCTAGTTTTGAAAAACAAATGAGCCCTCAGGTGATTTACAGCCCTGCTCAGGCAGAGAGGGCTACAGGATCTCAGTTCGACTGACACCACCCTTCTGCAGTACTATCATAATCAATATTCATTAACTGAAGCCTATTGGACTTGGGGATTTACTGCTATTAATAAGCCAAGAGTCTATCTTAGTGTAGTTTATGAAGGAAGTTTTAGGTCTGTTAATAAAAATGATTGCATTTCTGCAGTTTCTTAGCCCTGTCCCTGGGCCATGCTCACATCTTTAAAAAGAGAGAAGTGGCACATGGGTAGAGCCAAAAGAGATAAAACCGGAGGGAAACCTCTTCAGAGCTGGTGGAAGGCACCTGCAGCTGGGTTAGTGGATGGCCAGCGTCAGAGAGAATTCTCGTGGTCTCCTGCAACTTTCTAAGCCATCACCCTGCGTGCACGTGAGGAGCAACCCTTGAGCTGTCAGGGAGCATCACCTGCTCGGCAGCAAGCCTGAGCTCTCTGGCCGCTTTGCTGGGGTGCCTGGAGCACCGTCGGTCAGGCATGAGCACACTGCTGGGACCCGGGAGCTCACCCTGTGCTGTGGAGCTGGAGGATGTCTGCCAGCAATGACCACTCCTTCCTCATGGGCTGTAGTGCCAACCTCGCTTCTCCTAAACCCCAACAACCAGGACAGCCGGGATGCTCTGGTTGGTGGTGCAGGCACTGAGGATGGGAATGTTAACTCTGTGCCAACGGAGTTAAAACCTGCAGACTCCGTGGCCTGCTGGTATCCCCATTTTGTTGATAAACGAGCGGAGCGAACCTTATCAAAATGAGCAGACTGTAGTCCTGCTAATGTAGCTCCGCTGGTGCTAAAGATAATTGATGCTTTAATAGCGCTACACATTATCCAGCCTGTGGCTGGAGTGCTTATGTGAGGAGAGGCATCAATCACGGGCGGCTGTATTTAACTTCTGTCAAATCTTGAAGGGGGTGGCAAGGTGCATTCTTGGGCTGCTCTTGGGGAAAGAATGTTGGGCTCGGAGATATGAAGTGAATGAATCATCACATCCCTTTTACCTGCATCAGTGTCCTGCAGATTGGGAGAGTGAGGGTGTATGTTTTGGTTATCTCGGCTGGAGACGGGAGGTACCATGGTATTGGAAGCAGAGGCTTGATGATGAAGAACTGCAGTTCCCAAGTGGAAGGCCTTCAGTCTCATCTGCTGGTGAAGAGATGGGTCTCTGCCCGGTGTGCTGCTCTGCGCAGATAAGGAACTCCTGGCAGATAAGGAACTCCTGCAACGTGGGCAACGTCTCCTACAGCTGAGAGAGCCTGGGGAGAAGCTGTAGGTGAAACCAAGCTGCTGTGTCACAGGCAGACTTACAGGGGCAGGCCAGAGCAAGGGTTGTGGGCAGTAAGTGCGCTCCCCTCCCCAGGGCTGGCCGCCCGCCGGGATGGAGATCA